CGTATTGTCCACAGAAGGTATTCCTGCCTCATCTGCTGTTCAAGAGAACAAGACCTAGAAGAACCAATCTCTGACTAGACCAATCTCTGGAGAGCAGAAGGTTGACATACGTGTGGCAGTTTTGATATAGTGCTTTGCAGTGTGAGGCATTATTACCGTGCTGTAAACCACTGATGGTGTAAACTATATCATAAAAGGTGCAATCTGTCAGCTACCCGCCCATCATGACATCCACTTTCAGGGGTCAGATCAGCAAGGTAAGCAGAAAAGCAATTGCCTCCAGGTCTGGATTATACAACCCAAGATAACCTCAGAATTTACTTCAGCTTCAGACTTGTTTACACAAACCAAGACTGAATGGGAAGCTGAAGGGAATTCAACCTCCTCTGTCATGATCTGAGGTTCTTGACTCTATTTCCCTTCTACCTGGCATAAGTAAATGCACAAATAGGAGCAAGGGTGTTGTGTTCTTGAGGAAGGAATTCAGATTTCCATGTGGAAGTCTGGATGTTCCAAACTGGTCAGCCAAGGGAGTGAAACACTATGGAATCCCTTGCTTTTGTAGGCAGGACTTGTTATTTCTGGATTTATTATTCATTTATAAATTTATTCATTTTTTTTCAGTTCATACTAGTCCTCTCTTTCCTAGAAAGCTAGCAATACCAATCTCCTAATCTGAAGCTTGTAAGCAAAACCTCATGTTGCCTATGCCAGTGCAAGCAGAACAGATAGTGGGGAATATGAGGAACGTGATGATGATGCCACGTGGTGTAGACAGAGCTTTTTATTAAATGTTCAGGGGCACGGGGGCCTGATTCAGATGGGGACCACAGCACCAGAGGAAGGAGACTTAAATCCTTCTTCCTCTTGCAATTTAAGGTAAAAGTAAAGGTTTCCCTTGCTCGAAAGCTAGTTGAATCCGGCTCTATGGGGCGGTGCTCATCTCCATTTCCAAGCTGAAGAGCCAGCGCTGTCCGAAGACGTTTCCGTGGACATGTGGCCGGCATGACTAAACACCAAGGCACACGGAACGTTGTTACCTTCCCACCAAAGCGGTACCTATTTATCTACTTGCAATTTCTTGCTTTCGAACTGCTATGTTGACAGGAGCTGGAACTAGAGACAGGAGCTCACTCCGTCATGCGGCAACTCGGGTCTAAAACTGCCAAACTATAGGCCTTCTGGTCTGCAGCTCAGCGTCTTAACCTCTGAGCCACCATGGCTCCCTCTTGCAACTTAGCCATCCTCAAATGGCCCCTGGCCCCACTGGGAGAAATATGTAGGTTCAGATACAGGTTCCTGTTACATTTACAAGAAAATGAAAATGAAGTCCAGTGGCACCTTAAAAACTCGGGTTTATTCCAGTAAGAGGTTTCACAAAACAGAGCTAACTTCAGGTACAAAGTCTATCTGAATAAGTGAGTACTGTCTCATGAAACATCATTCTGGAATAAATTTTAGTCATTAAAATGCCACTGGACTTCTGTTTTGTTTTGCTACAGCAGACTAACCTGGCCACTCCACTGGAATGTCTATAACAAGAGGGGCAACATGTTCACTCATTTCCATTTCTTTATCATGTGCCTGGAAGAGTTTTAAGATCCCTTCTCATCATGGCAAAAGCTGTGGTGGGATCAGTTGGTGCACTGTCTAACATACAGGAATGCACTTTCTCCAGGGAGCTCAAGGCAGTATATTTTGTTCTCCCTTGCCAACACAAGGGTAAAGTTAGGCTAAGAGTGAGTGGCCAAAGGACCATAGCTATCGGGTGTGTTTGTTGGAAAAGCTGTCCCCCCTGGAAAATGTGTCATCCCACACCTGTGAATTTCCATCTTTCTAAGTCTGTAGTCCTTTTTGTTGCAGAGATATAAGGGGAAACGTGCAGGCAATTTTTGTCCCTTTCCCTGGGAAGGAAGCAGGAGTGAAAGAGACAAGATTGTCAGAGCTGATTCACTTGACCCCTTTCTGACCTAATTCCTTCTCTTCTGCTGTGCCATATCTCCTTTTCTGATCCTTTACTTCATGTTTGTTTCTTTCTCACTGCTTTAACACCCACAGTTAAGTAGGCAGAACACTGTGTAGAAAACCAGTGTGAGATTTATACTGTTTTGGGACTGTCCCCTCTGTTTGCAGCAGGAAAATTTGCTTCAGCGGTAAGTAAAGCATTTGGGGGGGGGGCAGAAAATCAGTACCACTTTCATTCAGCATGATGTTGGGTTTTAATCATTAACTGCAAACCTCCTTGTGTAACTTGTCTGTGCAAGAAAACAAATGCCTCTGAGCATGTGCCAAATGCCTTTTACTCACCAATGAATAAGCATTGTAAAGCTCCTGTTCTCCCCCTCCCCCTCCAATCTGCAATTTACACTAAAGAAGCATAATGCTCAAATAAATACTTTACTGCAGAAGGCCAGAAGGCTGAGGGGGCATAATATTCAGGCAGTCTAAAGTTAAACCAGTGTTCACTACTGAATAATATGGTATTTGCAAGGATTAATCTGCGCCAAGAATAATGAATTTTTGTATGTTAAAACTGCAAACAGTCTGCCTTCTGATCACTATACAGTCACCACCTTCCTCTTGCTACATGGTATCAGGGCTTAATTTCTAGGTGGGAGGAAATGGTTCCAGGCCGGTGGTAACTCAGGAATCTTCCATTTTAATAATTAAGGCATTGATTAATCACCGTCTCCCCACCCCCCAGCTTTCCCAACACAGTCTGGAATCCTGCCCTACAATCTTGTGTTCTGCAACAACATCTCTTGGGAGAAGTATGAAGGTCCACTGATTAGATCAACAAAGGACTCATAGTATAATCACGAGTGAACCACCTTTCCCTGGATAGCTGAAGGTGTGCCCCACTGCAATTATAGGGCTTCTTCTAAGATTTCTATGCTTGCCTCCTTGTGGTAAGAACTACTAATGTAAATTTGTGGTGGGAGGCAATACAACAATTTAGATTTAGCATATAGTTAATTTCCATTTTATTTGTCTTTGCTTTGCCCTTCCCTTCAGACTATGTGCTCCATTACTAGTGGTGTGGGGAAGTACTACTGTTGTTGTTGTTTTTTTGTAAACATTTTATTTTTAGGATATATTCAACAAAGTCCAACATTTGTATAACAATTCTTATCCCTCTATATCCTACCCTCCTCCCTTTCCCCCCTATGTATGCCTTCCCACAGTGCTACAACCTTCTGCATAATTCTTAAGTTACTCTTTTCTCCTCTTTATCTCTACATAGGGAAGTACTACTATTGTTACTGCCATTTAGCCCGACACCACAGGCCCCACCATATGACATCTCTGGACCCTCACCTGTAACCTCATCAGGCCCTGCTCAACGAGTCTCAGGGTTCAGGGTGATGGGGACTTAGCCCCTCTTCTCAATGGACTCATGACCCTCCACCATAATCTTTCCCACTACAAGCCTGGTCCAAGGTTACCTGGTGAGCTTCATGGATGAAGTGGGGATTTCCCTAGCCCAAGTTCCACTATCTAACCACACAATGCCGCACTGCAACTCACTTCCTGAGCTATAGGACAAAAATAGCATGGCCCAGATTTCCTTCTGCTGTTTGCCATGTCAGGGAGGTTCCATGGGATCTAAAAATATTCACCATCAGACTGCCAGAATCCTCACTCTGCCTGCAGCCAAGAAGTTGTGGCTGTGCTGCTGAAGGATCTGAGGCCATTCATTCTAATTTCTGCAAGCAATCTGAAAAAAAAGTCAACAGTGGCTCAGAAAGGTACCTGGAGGGGAGCTGTCCATTGAAAGATGAGGCTCAATTTGGACAATACCCTGATACAGACTTCCTTGGTGCGTGCTTTGAAGGCGGTGGTGGTGGTGGGGTCCTTACTGAGTGGGAATGAGCAGAAAAGCTTAACCTTTCCCCAGATGTACACACAATGCTAGAGTGAGAAATGCCCCCACCCCCGCTGTCAACCCTTCTGCAATTATAGAAAGGCAAAGGGCCTCAGTTTCCTAGCAGATCAACTAATGGGACTGGCAACCTGTGCAAAATCACCCTTGCCCATATGCTGGTGCATCACAGCAGGGCTTGTTGTGGTCTGGCTTCCAACAGAAGGAAAGACTGGAACACCGTCTGTATCGACAGAGATGATTTTAAGTAAACGCTTTGACAGTTCTTTATAAGGGGTTCACCTTGCTCACTAAACCCCCCACTTCTTGAGGATGCGACTAGACATGACAGTAGCTCAACCCGAGTCTAGCCCAGTTCTCATAAAGCAGGGTAGGAGAAGATACACTTAAACCACAGTATTGACAAACTTGCCAACAGGCCTGAAGAAAAATGCTCTGTCCTTTTAAGATAGACTTCATGTACGGAAACTGGCAGCTGAAGCTTTTCTGAGCACTGAGGTAAATATCACCACGTGATAAATAACAGCCCATTAAGCCTTTCTTAAAAGGACAGGCCTTTTTTCCCCTCCAGGCAGCTGCCAGCCCTAAGGGATGATGGCTGAAGGGGGAGCCAGCTGAACTTCCCCCCTCTTTCCCCTTCTCCTTGGAACAGCTTCTCCCCAACTATCAGTTTCTAGTCCAGAGTTACTTCTGGTGGCAAGCTCCAATCAGGAGAAAAGCAACCCGTGAGAAATAGTTTGAGGAGTAGGGTTGAGCTCCCCTCTCACACCCAGGCCACACTGTAGATCGCCTCCTCCTGCTCCACCACGTCATAGGAAACTGGTACTTAGCCAGTTCAGATGCACAGGGACTGCCGCCAACATTTCTAGTGTGGCTCTGAATATGCCATCACAGCGTTTTTCCATATAAATGAGTTTCTCTCTTCCTTCCAATCTATGAATATTAAACACTTTGGGCAGGGAGCCAATCCTCCCGGGGGGGGGGGGGCGCTCTGATACACTCTGCAAGCAGGGGATCACTTCTGGCTGGATACTGTTGCTGCGTGCACAAAATATTCCCCCAGCAGGTTTGTTCAGCGCCTTCACGTGCTTCATCGTCTCTTTCCACATTCACTCACCTTGTCGATATCATAAAGAGTCTGAAGAGGACTTCGACCGGACTTGTCATGCCAGATGGTCTTCAGAATCCTGTCCTCTGCAGCTGGAGGGAAATACAAAAAGGGAAGAAGTGCTATTCCTTTTCTTTTTAATCTTATGTAATTGAGATAGTGGAGAATGGGAAATACCAAGGGAGAATTCCCTCTGGGAGGGATTTTACATGTGCTCAATTTAGCCTGGGCCAAGATGAACAAATTGAAAAGGCAATAATGCTAGGAATAGCAGAAGGCAGCAGGAAAAGAGGAAGATTCAACATGAGATGGATCGACTCAATCAAGGAAGCCACAAGGGCCCTCAGTCTGCAACGCCTGAGCAAGGCTGTTAAGGACATTAATGCACAGGGTTGCCATAAGTCAGAAGTGACGTACCCGAGGGTACACTTTTATTATTTTTTTTCATTATATACTACAGACATACATAGAAACAACACCCAACTACCCCCAACAACATATAATATACAAGAGACTTTTATCACTTCTTCTGCTTATTAAATTTCTAAATCCATTATTTATTTTACTAAGCTTATCTTTTCTGCATTCTCAAATGACTACATTTGACGGCACTTAACACACACAAGATGAACAAAAAACTTGAAATCCAGAAGCTCAAGTTTGGTATTTTGTAATTATTAACGATTTTGTAATAAACACATCTCATTCTTCTCTCAGTCTCAATCCTCTACATTCATAACTTTTGACAATTTATTCCCCTGTCTGTGGGATCCATACATCAACACACATGAACAATATTTTTTATTATTTATTTATTTATTAAGAAGAAGAAGAGTTGGTTTTATACCCCACTCTTCACTACCCAAAGGAGTCTCAGAGTGGCTTACAATCTCCCTCCCTTCCTCTCCCCAAAACAGACACCCTGTGAGGTAGGTGGGGCTGAGAGAATTCTGAGAGAGCTGCGACTGATCCAAGGTCACCCAGCTGGCTTCGTGTGGAGGAGAGGGGGATCAAACCTGGTTCTCTGAATTACAGTCCGACACTCTTAACCACTACACCCAGCTGGCTTTTACCGGATAATACAAACACACACAGAAGAAAACAATGCAAGATTTTAGCCACCGGCATTTAGTTTCGGAGTGCTAGCCTCTGCTCTGGGTTGCAATATAGTCCAGATTCCGAGGCACCGGCATAGGGGAATTACACATTTGATCCAGCATGTAGTTATTCTGATGCATACAGAATGAAAGCCATTATAGGTCAAAACTGGCACTCTGGAATGTACTTGGATGCAAACTGGTAACAGTACAGTTGCCAGCAGACAGACTGATCATGGCCATGGCTTCGTACAGTCTTGAAAAACTCAGAACTATTTGCTCAGTCAGCCTAAGGCTGCAGTCTTTTGCAGACTTACTGGAACACAGCAGGACAAATAGACGCAGGACTGGGCTGTAGGAATCTATTTATTCCAGAATTCTGTTTCCAGCTGCAGCCAGGCAAGATGCCTCAGACTGGGCATAAAGGCCCTGTTGGTTTCCCTTATGTTATGTATTGACTTGTATATATAACTGCTATGTGAACTGTCCCATTAAGATACCATGTTAAGCTTCGCCCCTGGGCTAGGATCCTAATGTAACCAATAGGAGCCCTAGCCCAGAAAGTGTCTACCAATCACTATGCAAAGCGGGACCGCTTGTGATTGTGTATTGTATCTTCAACCTCATAGGTTGTTATCTGTACAGGGGGTGTGGCTACATTAGCCGGGAGTGTTTAAATATCGACAAGCCAGTGTAAATATTTCGATGGGTTCTGGCTGGCGATTGTTGTACCGTAACGGAGAAGTAACTGAGCTGAAGAATAAACCGCATTCTTGCTGAAATCACTCTCCGACTCTTTGTTAAGCGCACGACATAACAATTGGCGACGAGGATGGGATGCTAGTGCGGGTAGGCAGCCCCGCTAGAATGAACCCCATGTCGGACAACGAGGAGATCGCCGAGGCCGGCCAGCCGCAGGCTCCACCCGCTCTGGTGGCTCCGCCTGTGCGCATAACGATGGCCGCGAGCAGCCAGAAGTTCGAATGCTTCGACCCGACTACTGAAGACTGGGACTCTTACCTTACGAGGTTTGAGTTCCATCTGGAGGCGAATGACATCACGACGGAGGAGAAGAAGAGGGCGACTCTACTCAGCTCGTGTGGAAAGAGCGTTTTTGACATCGCCCGGTCACTGGTGGCACCAGATGACATCAAAACCGTATCCTTCAAAAATCTGACAGACAAGCTGAAATCACACTTCTCTCCACAGCCGTCGGAAATCGCCTGCAGGCACGCTTTTTACAAGCGGGGTCAGAATGCGAACGAGTCCATAGCTGAGTACGTTGCAGCTCTTCGCAAGGCAGCACGGCCTTGCAACTTCGCGAATGTGGAGGAGGCCCTCCGAGATCGCCTCGTCTGTGGTCTGAGAGACGAGCGACTGCAGCAACGCCTGTTCGCAAGAACTACGTTAACGTGGGCCACCGCCTATGCCGAGGCTGTCGCCGCGGAAGCTGCTGACAGATCAACCAGGGAAGTGAGACAACGGGTCGCCACAGCTGAGCAACGCGTCCACCAGCAGAGGGCTAACGACGCAAGCAGCGACTCCGATGATGACGTCTGCAAAGTGAAGGCGGGAACGTCCAAGCGGACCCAACGGAAGCCTGCCGAGAGTACAGCATGCGACGGTTGCGGCGGGAAACATCGGCGCGAGCGTTGCTGGGCAAGAGACCTCGACTGCCGGTCATGCGGGAAGCGGGGGCATGTTGCCCGGGTGTGCAGAGCAGCGAACAAGTCGTCA